TGAACTTATAGGTTACACATTCACATTCACCTAGTGAGGGTATGTTCTTCTTCTTTTATCTAAATGTCATTGTTTTATATAAATTGGCATTTGAATAGTCACAGACAATAGTTATCATTCTAAGAAGAGTGCATCAAAATGTTTGTGGTCTCTATGTCCCTGTTAGACGGAGACTTGTGTTTACTGCTGTCTGTTTCATTAACCATACAAACATAAAAGAAAAAAATTGACTGATTTAGGTAAAAACAAAATCAGAACTACTTTTCTCTAAGCCACGTATTTTTCTTACAGTTACAGCAGGTTTACCATGACTTGTGGGTGCTGATTGTCAATCATTTTGTCTCTCTGACACTGTTACCTTAAGGACAAGGATCTAAATTCTGAGGTAGGCTCCACACAACACACATTGTAAAATGATTTTAATAAAACAAAACCTTATGAGACTAGACCTACTTATATTTTTAAAAAGATAATAATATAAGTTTAATATTCTTGATTAAAGAAAAATTTATGTTTGCTGTAAGATGAAAATAATATAGAAATGTATAACCTGAAAGTACTATTTATACAGAATTATAATATTTATTGGTCTAAGTAATCAATCCATTAGTAGCTTATATAGTCATCCCTTATGCATCCATGAGTGACTGGCTCCAAGATCCCTGCAGATACCCAAATCCATGGATGCTCAAGTCCCTTATATAAAATAGTGCAGTATTTGCACAACCCATATGCATTCTCCCATATATGGTAATCATCTCTAGATTACATACAATACCTAATATAATATAAATGCTATGTAAATGATTGTTATATTATAATGTTTAGGTAATAATGACAAGAAAAAAGTATGAATTTATTCAGGACAGAGGCTATTTTTGTCAAATGTTTTCAATCTGTCTTTGATTGACTCCCCAGTGAAGAACCCACACATACAAAAAATGACCATACATGGTTATAGAACACTGATCAGTAGCATCAGTTTGCTTGGCTGCCTAGAATCTTCCTTATTCATAGTAACATCAGCAGCTTCTAGAATAACAATGAATATATTCAAAACTAACTTCAAAAGAGAGCATCCAATGTTGAATACAAATTCCACTTACAAGCATGGGTCATAGAATATGCATTTACAGCTAGCATCAGAGTCATCCTGAAGAAAACAGAGCAAGACATCACCATCCATTTGAGGTAATCACAGGATGTCAGGAGCAGAACCTCACAGATCACCCCCAGGGCAGTGGGGAGGGCAGGAGGAGATTGTAAACAAGTCCCCATGTGAATTCTGAAACACACTCACGCTTCAAAAATCACTGATTTAGCCCAGCTTTGTCATTTCAGAAACAGGAAACTGAGGTTGGTGCGAGTTAAGAAATGTGTTAAGTCCCCATACAAGGTGTGCAGAGGTTGGATCATAACACAGGGTTCTGAGTTCTGATCTGCTCTTTTTCCTCTTGCAGCAAGCCACGTTAGAAGGCACCTTCTGTACATTAGTGCAGAGCAGCTCGGCTGTGATGTGCTCTCCGAAGGTAGGGATCAAACAAGTCTCTCTTGTACCAGAGCCTCTCATTCTAACAAAAGAACCTCAAATGTTTGGGATATTAGTAGTAGATTTTTGCTGATATGGGTTTTTGCTTTTGGAATGTAGAGGAAAGTTTCATACTTAAATAAAAGTATAATTATTACTTGGTGACCTAGCAAGCATGTACATTTTGAAGTTTAGACCAAGAGAAAATAGCAGTTGGATGTCACACGCCATCCGCCACACAGGCCGCAGTGGTGGCTTGGAGTCCTATTGGTCATGTGAAGTGAGTGACTCGCGGATGGGATGTTTGAGAGAGGGACTCCAAGTGTGCTTGGCCCTGAGTCGGGGACAATGTGTCACTTCCAGTGCTTTTCGCTCTGGCTGAGTCATGACACAGTCACCAGAGAATCCAAAATAATTGTCTGCGTGGCCACGGAAAAGCTGGGAGAAGTGGGTGAAAGGGAGTACATCGTGTCTGCAGTATATTTAGAGCTCTCCGCACATTTATCTAAGCGGAAAACTTTGGTCTCAGAGCAAAATTTCCCCGGGAGGGAGCTCTATTGAATATAGCTGACAAGCAACGAAGCTAAAGCTGGCACTTCTGCCAGAAACAGATGAATATCAATGCATTAAACTCTACCTTCTTTTTAAAAAATATCAGAGTTCAGAAAGAACACTTAATAAATGCCCAGCTCTAAAACTATGAAGAGTAATCTTTCTTCTGATAGATCCTTGGTGTAGTATTGGGCAAGAATACAGATACAAATCATAGGAAGCTTATTCTATTATTACTATTTGTAAAATTACAGTGCTCTTCAGGGTTCATGTATTATTCTTAAAAATCACAAATGATATTAATCAACTCTCACTACTTCCCAAACACTGTGTTACTTGCTTTTTTCTCAGTAATCTTACTGAATCTTCAGAGAAGTCTATTACATTGGTAGAGTTTTGTTTTGTGTGTGGGGTTTTTTTTTTTTTTTTTTTGGTACTGGGGATGGAACTCAGGACCTTGCACTTTCAAGGCAAGCAGCAGAACCACTGAGCTAAATCCCTGGCTCTACATTGGTAGAGTTTTACATCTGGGCACATGGAGACTTGGAGAGGTTAAGGACAGTCTGAAGGCCCTCAAGACTAAGAGACAAAGCTGAAATTCAACCCTAAATGTATGTACCAACAGAGTCTGTGCTTTCAAGCTCCCATTCAATTCCCATTCTAACCCACAGACCTGAAGGACACGTATGATTTAGGCTGTATCTTGGGGCCAGGGATGTAGCTAAGTGGTAGAGCATGTGCTTAGCATGTTCGAGTCCCTGGGTTCAATCCTCAGCACCCAAAATAGATGCAAATAAGAAATTGGTAATCTAGATATGTGTACAACTTTAGCAAAAATTAATTAATGAGATCTTGTGTGAGTCAAATTCTGGATCATTCCAAACTGGAATTCCCCTAATGATATCACAAAAGAGCCTCTGATGACCCAAAGAAGAATCACACTGGAAGTTTCCACAAATGCCAACTCTCTCCTTGGAGTTGAGTAAAGGTAGATTGAGTAGTAGCAAATTAGACTAAAATAGCTGATGGGTTTTTTTGGTCAGGTAGCCGAATCTCCCCCTACCCCTGGCATCCACCAAATAATTCTCTCATGGCAACAACTTCACAATGTAAATGGAAATGTTGAATATATATTTTTTTCTTCATAAGGAAAATAGCATATCTCCATCTCTTTAGTCTCGGGCTCCAGTGAACACCCACTGGATGTAGCCTCACCACCTTTTGCCTTACTTGTCTTCAGTCATAATGACTGTTGTCATTTGTTTCACACTGCATCTGACGCTTTAATTCAATAACCAAAAATAGAGCATGTTCTGTGCTGTTGTCTTAATTAGGCATAGCATTAAACACATGTCAAGGAGAAATGAAACCGAAAGAATCAAGTCAAGATCACAGCCCTAAATTTTTTCTGGGGTCACAGTTGCTGATAAATGATACAAAATGCACAAGATAATTGGTCCTAGTTATCTTTTGACCCAAAGATCTATGAGAAGGGGGTGACAAGTGTAGGGATAGGGGAGCTGAACACCGCTTGCCACTGCTATTTGAATCATTTTGCACCCTTAAGCACCCCAACCCTAATCCTGCCGCTTATATTTGCTCACTTTATGGTGATTCTAAGGAGAGTGTTTTGAAGAAAGGAGAAGGAAGAAAGAGGTCTGACAAATGGAACAAACCCTATGCAACTGTCTAGTTCTACCATATTTTCTCATCCTCATTAAGATGCTGCTTTGGTTTCATCTAAAGATGAATTACTTGATAGCGGTGAATGCATAATCTGGCCAAATTCATTTAAAAATAAATGTCCAACTATTTTTATTATACTCCTCACATCCCAGGAGGTCTCAACCAGCAAATTTCATAGAAATAAATATTTCAAAATATATGTCTCTAGCCCACTCAACACCTTCTGAATTAAATTGTTACTATTAGTAAAAATGCGTAGACTTTCAGAGTGGCCTCGCTGACCTATTTTTGATAACACAATCTTGGCTCCTTCCACACTGGCCATAATGAGTTCTTGGTAACATTACCCTTTCTGATGAATTTAACAGAAGCATGTTAGACTTTCAGAAACTGGTGGTGTGTAAGCTTGACTGGTTTGCTCAGTCCAATTTGGCACTTGGAAAACCAGGCACTGCGTGAACATTTTTTAATTGTATCTCTGGCTTAGATTTTCACTCTTACTGACACAAACAATCAATCTTAATCCTCCCATTTCTAGTTGCATGTTGTTTTCCAAAATTAAAGCTATATGCCCCCAAATTTTTGCCCTCTTTTGTGTGGCAGATGATACTTTCCATCAACAGTGAATAATAAACTTGCATTTGGCCCATATGTAGCACCTGAATACATAAATCCCCACATGCAGTACTATTTCAAATTGACATTCTTATTCTTTTTCCCCTTCCTACTTCAGTGATGCAGAATATCAGTCACAATTTAAGAGCCCTCTTTTGAAATAGAAAGAAAAGAACAAGAGAAGAGTACCTAGAGCCAGACACAATGCAACAACAACACCGCCCCCCTCCCCCATGAAAACCATAGTTCTTAACAGATACCCTGAGAAGGTTCCCAGGACACAGTGCTGAGGAGGGGTGAACCATCCAGTGGGACCCATCCTATACCTCAGTGGCTCCCAGCTAACTGTGCCACATTATCTGTATCAAAATTCAGATACAACGAAGTGTCCTCTAACCCTAATGCAATTCTGCTTCCTATTCTGCCAGCCTCAGATGTGCAAAACATTGGTATTCTGGTTATTTTTTTAAGTTATAAGCTTAAATTTGGGCCACTTATCAGTCATACCCTTCGATTAAGGACTACATATAGTAAGGGATTACCTGTTGGAAGACGCCCAGGGTAGCCTCCATCCCAGGGACTTGGAAACAAAGTAGAAAGGATTACGTGGGTGACTTACCAGCTCCTGGGTCTGGATGGCTGCAGCAGCCCCTCCGCTCTACCTGGTCCCTGGCTCTCTCTGTCTCTGTCCCTCTCCCTCTCTCTCCCTCTCTCTTGTGTACAGATTGCAGGGAACTTAAAGAACTAGCAGGGACAGTGTTTCATATGACTTAAGAAGGAGAACAGGAACAATACTTCGTTCTCTTTTTCTCAGATGAGTACCTTCAGGAAGAAGGAAGGAAGGGAGGGGAGAGGGAGGAAGTCAACAACCCTTTGCTTTCCTGAAAAAAAATAAGGAAACAGAAGATAGACATCTCATTTTCTCTTAAACAAAATGTTGGAAGGGGTAAAAAAAAAGAAAGAAACTTTGAAAAAAAAAAAAAAAGGAATTCTTCAAATATACTCTCTGCCCTGGGAGCTTTAAAGAGATGAAAATGCCTTAGTGGCCTGTCCTGTCCAAACAAATAGTGTTCCAAAAAGGCAAGCTCTCTCTCCTGAGTGTGCAGCCTCTGATATCTGGTTTGCAGAACTGATACAGGCAAAAGGGAACAGATCATGTCATGTTGACTCTGAGGAGGGGAACGTTGGGTCCATTGTGCTAACTGAAGTAAACCTGCAGCCTGGGCGACAGAGCATCGTGATGGCTCAGCCAGGACTTCTGCCTTCTCTTAGGCCCTTGGAAAATCAGCATTGCCTCAATTCCTCAGCTAACTCCAGATCCTTAGAGTTCTCCCAGGATCCAATAGCAGATTTATGCACTGGTCACTGAGCTTTGTGCAATAGATCAAACCCAGCTTCCATCTTTGCTAATGGATAAAAAAGGGAAAGAAGCCTCTTTGCACAGCACTGCCAGGCACAGCTATCTCAGAACTATTGTTCATATTCCCCTGTCCTTTACATTCCTAAGGCTCCATGGATGTAGTCACCGCTGGAAAACTGGAAGGCAATTGCTAATCTGTTTCTAAAATATACTGTGAAAAAATGAAGAGAACATCCTTTACCAAGGTGGGGATGCTGAGAATTCAGGCGGAAGGCATGGGCTGAGCTCTGTGCAGGGATAGTTGTACCTAAGAATACAGTTGGTTTAAATTCTCCAATTTCTTTGTGCCCTTCATTCATCTGGTTATGACCATTGTCACCACAATCAGGAACCAGGAGATACACAGACTTCTGTGGCAGCAGAAGAAAAACCAGCTTTAAGCTCCTTCCTCATTTTACCAAATTGTAAAAAAAAAAAAAAAAAAAGCTACACCTAATTGCAAGAAGGAATGAAGCGAATTCAGGGAAAACATGATTCTTATTCAGTGTCCATGTGAGACTTTAATTAGGTACAAGGATCTATAACATTAAGTATTTAGTCCAAGTTTTCCTCCTATTTCCCACCTTTCTCTATCTATCTATCTATCTGTCTAGCATGTATCTGTAGCTATGTGTAAGTGTCTGAGAAGAAATGTGGTGTAGATATTCAGTAACTTGTGAGAGCCAGTGCAGAGTCCCATTCTTTGCATTGTCCCTGACACCAGCACTGGCACGCCCCTGGATTCCTGCCGTGGGTTACCAGTCCTCATCCACAGAGGAGAACACTGATGACCAGAAAAAGTGTCTGTTCTTTGCCCAAAGCCACACACCTCAGAGGCAAAATTCAGTGTTCGCTTGCACCTTCAGCCCAGCTCCCGCGCTTTGGCCCTCTGCTGGCCTCCGCTGGATCCTGCCTTCTTAGGGATGGGAAAGAAAAGAATGAAAACCCAAGAATGCAAGGGAAGAGCAAGGGAGAAGGGAGTGGGGCAGGAGTAGGAGCTGTGGCTTCCAAAGGGACAGCAGGAGCAGGCCAAACACCCTAAGAACCATGGGGCCAGACGTGCCATGGATGCTGGTCAAGAAAGTGGGTCAGTAGGAGTGGGTGAGTGGGGAGCAGCAGGGAAAGGGTGGACACAAGTTGGGGAGAAAGGGGGGGGACAAGAAGTCGTGAAGAGGCTCGGGCTACAGAACCCTTGCAGGATGAAAGCGGCTCTGGTGGCCTGAAGAGCCAACCTACCACACACGGCCCTCCCCATGTCCCTCCTCTGTGCAGCCTCCCAGCCAGCCTGGGCTGGGCCCCAGGGGTCCTGCAAGAGCCCAGAGGATTTCCCTTTCAAGTCTGTGAGAATGTGGGGACTGTCACGTTGAGGCCCTGTTGTTTTATCCAAGCCAGCTGACCCGCCCAGAGTCAGCTTGGACAAGGCATGTCCATTCAGTCTGTATAGCTTTGATTTTTCCACCACAGGAGCACCCAGCTGGGACCTGAGGACACCTACCGGGCTAGCCAGTGGATCCCCACCCCTGCCTCTTCTGGTTGCTCCCCCCAGATTTCTGTGTAACCCAGCTTACCACAGGCAAGGCCTCTCCCTCTTTCCCTGTCTGTGCACTGCCAATCGTGTGAAAAGGCACTCTCTGATACTTGTCAGATCACCCCCTGGGTGTCAGCAGCTGAACTGCCTCAGACCCTCCCACTTGGCTTCAAGGCCACCCAAGCTCCTGCTCACTCCTGGTCACTAAGAGCGAAGAGAACAGATTTTTTTTTCCCTTACATTCTTTTATTGGTACATTGTAGGTATACAACACAATTACATTTCTCATTGGGAATTGTACCTTTACATAATGCATCTTGGTTCTTAGTTTTTCCCCATTCCCAGCCCTCCTTTCACCCCCTCTACCCTTCCCTATTTACAAAGACTTTGTTTCCATTTTTTCCATTTCTCATAATTTTTCCTTTCCCTTCTTTCCTTTCCTCTACCCCTCCTAGTTCCCCTACCCATTTGGACTTTTTCTTCCTATTATGCATTATCAATTATTCATTTTAATCACTGGCACATTTTAGGTATACAGTATAATGACATTTACCATTGGAAATTTGCACCTTTACATAATCACTCTTGGTTCTTATTCTTTCCCCCTTCCCCTGCCCTCCCTTCAACCCCTCCATCCCTCCCAATTTACAAAGACTTTGTTGACATTTTTTCATTTTCTCATATTAATTCCATTCCTTTCTTTCCTTTCCCCTACCCCTCCCATTTCCCCTTCCCCTTTGCCCCCTTTCTTCCTATTTCACATTATCTATTATACCTTTTAGTCCTTATTTACACTTTCAGTTTTTCACACTAGAGAAACTACTCAGTATTTACACATGTGTGTCCTATTTATTTCACTTAAGAGTATTGCCTCAGAGAGGGGTCCCTGGTTACAGGGGACCCACCCCATCCAGCCCGCACCCCTGGCAGTGATCCACGTAGCAGCGCGGGTGGCTGCAGGACTCCTCCCCCCACTCCACCTCCTGGCTGTACTGCCACCTGGTTCCACACTACAAAGACACAGGGCACACTGGACCACCAGGCAACCATACTGGGTAAGTTGGAGGGTTCATCACCTCCCATCGGTACCTGGACTATCTTCAGGGGAAGGGCAGCTGGAACCTGCAGTACAATCCTGCAGAGCTCAACCCTACAGGAGGACAGGGAGCTCAACTTGGGACTTGCAGCCAGAAATCTGCCTGAATCTCATGGGTCTGTAACTGGCTTGCTGAGACTCATTGACTTATATCTGCCCAGGGCTGCCCACATTGTTTATTGTGACAGAAGAGACATACGCTGAAGGAGGCCCTTCATTTTCATTTTTATTTTTTATTTCCAAAATTAGTATTATTGGTTTGGGGTTTTTTTACCCCCTCTTATCTTTAATTTTTTTCCTACTCTTTGCAAATTTTTGTTTTTCCTTCCTTTCCCCCCTTTCTTTCTTTTCTCTTTCCTTTCTCTCTCTCTTACACTCACTCTTTTGCTGTCCCACATTGTTTGTCTCATTTTTGTTCCTGTTCTCGCCCTCATTTGGATTTCCTCTTTATTTTTCTATTATTCTCTTTTTCCTTCTCTTGCCTTTGTCCTCTAGCCTCACTGCTAACCTTGCCCTATCCTTCTACCTATCTATCCCTCCCTCCCCAACTCCTTCTAACTCCCCATCCTGAAGGGTAAAGTTGTTATATTGAAGAGTTTATTCACTATAAACATATGCTGGGTTGGTCCTCAATTTTGATTTAATTCACACAGTTAGAGGTGATAGATTAATAACTACCACAAGATGTCATTTTCTAAGATGTACTTGATGCTATAGTGTGGCTGATTGTATCACTTGGGCTAAGGTGTTGTTATTGACCTAGGCAGTGGTTCTTCCTAGTATAATGAAAATGAGATAGCCTCAGAGTCTTTAGAGACTCAAAACCTAAAGACCAGCTATATCTGGAAGACATCTCTGAGAAGCAATCATTCCATAAGGGTTCTAATTAGAAGCAACAAAGATACATACAATAAGCAATTTTGAAGTATCAACCCAGGAGTTAAAAGAAGGACGGTACCAAAAACAAAAATGAGAAGACATTTAAGCAAGGCACAAACTCAGACTTCCACCCCACCAAGGGTAAACCCTGGGGGAAATGAGGTGGAAAAGTCCGATAATCAACCAACTGGATACCCTGAACTGATAGCACAGGAAGTAACAAAA